GGGGCCGAGGAGTTCACGGGGACCGCCACGAACATCTGGTCCGCGGAGATGGGCTTGACGAGCAGCTGCGAGCACTGCATGACCAGCCCCTTGCTCTTGTGGTCGCGGGCGTGCCGCAGCAGGCTGCACTTGTTGAAGAAGAGCAGCGTCTGGGAGCAGAGCGTGCACAGCACCTCGATGTGGACGCTCCGCCGGCTGTAGTGCTGGCTCAGGCTCTTCTCTAAGGCAAACGCGTCCCCACACTCCAGGCAGCAGTACCCACTGGCGGGCACGTGGATCCTGCTGTCCGCAGGCGGGCTGAGATTGGGCGCGTAGAGGGGCACGGGGTTGGAGCTGTGGAGGACCTTGTTGAAGACCTCCACGACCAGCGGGGCGGCCTTCTTCACCTGGTGGACCAGGGGCACGGACATCTGTGTGGGCTGTGGCTGGCTCCGCCTCTGCGCGGAGGACTTGGCCGTCACTGAGGCGGCCACGCTGTGGGGGACCAGGTTCAGGTTGGCCAGGTGCACGGCTTTGGGCAGGAGGTTGGCAGAGGCCGGGGCGGACGCCTGCGGTGCGGTGCTCTGCTGCTGCTTCTTGCCCGCCTGGGGGCCCGGGGCGGCCCCCTTCGGGGCCCGGGACCCAGAGCCACAGCTTGGAGACGAAGGTTCACTGGCCTTGGTCACGCTCTCAAGCCCTTTCCTGTCGCCCTGGGGGCTCCCTGCATTTGTGTCCCCCTCAGGAAAGGGCTCGGGGGCAGGCAGGGCAGCGACCTCGTCCTCCGGCACCTCGCCCGGGGCCTCGGCAGCGGCACTCCCTAGCGGTGAGCCAGCAGGGGACTTAGTGGGATCGTCTGGGTCCGGCAGGATCCTTGTGACAGTCCGTTTGATCTGCCCCGATGACGTCTTAATGGTTTTGATCCTGACTCTGGGAATGGCTGGCGGGGAGCTGGCGGCCACCGAAGGGGAGCCCTTGCTGCTGCTGTCGCTGCAGATGCTCCGGGGGCTGTCCGGCGGCTTCGTACTTTTTCTAGTCGCCTCCAGGGGGCTCCGGGGGCTCTTTGGTGACTTGGGCATTTTGGGGCTGCCTTTGGAGCCCTCTTTCGTGGGCCCTGAGGGGTCCTTGGTGTGGCCAGGATGGTCCTCCTTGGCGACACTGGCGACCCTTTTGGCCTGCAGGGCCACCAAGGCTGCCACGCAAGAGGACAGCTTGGAATGCGCCGGCTTAAGTCGCTGCCGCGGGGGCACTGAGGAGCAGGAGCCGAGCTCGGCGGCGAGCCCCTTGGGCTCTGCAATACTGTCGCTGGGGTGGCTGTTGAAGTCCAAGGCGTCCCCAAAGAAGGGACTGGCATCCAGATCCTTGTGAGGCTCCGCCGCCTTCTGCGCCCCTCGCTCATGTTCCTGCTGGCTCCCCAAGGGCAGGGGCTCGGGCTTGGGCTCTTTCTTGCAAAAGTGATCGAAGATATGCAGCTCCGGGACCGGAAACTTAGCCAGAGCCTCCAGGACTGGGCCCCCGACAGGCCCGCACCCGGGAGGGGGTGCGAAGTAGCTGTCGGAGTGCTTGGGCTTCAGCCCGAAGCCGTTATCTTTGATGGCATCCTCGGACTCTGGGCTGGAGATTGGACTGAACTGGCTGAAGGTGGGGAGTGGCTCTGACTTGCAAGGCTCCAGCTTGCCCGGGAAACTCCTGGCACTGTCTCCATTCATGAAAGCGGAGTCAAACTTCCCACAGTTGTGGCCCAGGCCGTGGGGCTCCGGAGGCAGGTCCGGGCCTCGGAACCCATTGTGCAGGAGGCTGGGAGCGATGTGGTCTTTCTCCGCTTCGAAGGACTCCTGGCGGCTGGTGTTCTTGACAATGACACTCACGGCGGGCACGTCTGAGGACGACCCCGAGTGAGACAAGGACACGCCCTCATCCATGCACATGCCCGGAGGCTTGAGGGGATTCTCATTCTCCTCGCTGGGGGTCTGGATTGCCTCCTTGGCATCGAGGCTGGTGGGGTCTGGGATGTCAAAGGCGGCCAGAAGGTCATCAAAATCTGGAGTTTTCATATCCCCCATGGCTGGACGCCGGCAAGGGCTATAACAGAGACAGAGAAGAGAATCTCATCACCAAGCTCCTGCTGGACCCGGCCCAGCGTCACCTTCATTGCACACCCAACACACTAACACACACCCAGCCAGCACGCCCACCCACAAACGCCCGCCCTAGGGGAAGTCACACACTTGTGCTTCACCCCAACAGGTTTCCAAAATGCTAGAGACACAGAGGGAGGGGCGAGGTGGGGGGGTGTTTATACGTAGTGACAAGCCCGGCAGGCCTTACACCTCAACACCTAGAAACTCCTGGCTGGTTGCACAGCCAAGAGGCGCAGGCGTAGCACACTCCCTCCACCTGTCGGGGAACATCATCTCCATGTGTACTGGCCAAGTCACTCACTCAGCTGGAGAAAAGGCGTGGCTCAGCACCTCCCTTCTTCAGAAAACTTCTGGTTCGTGTATGTGATGTGGCTATAAGTTCTGCTAAATTTATGCGTCGTTATCATTGGCTTTGTATAACTCTGGGTTCTTGCTGCATAAATTTCAATCAAATTCAAAATGATTTGCGATTGCCAGGATTTAGGCTGCCCCATAAGTACACTCTAGAAAATTATATTATCCCCTTGGTATTTTTTTATTCCAGTCAGCCTCTACTTAATTCCTTCCTTTTCACTCTAAAACTGTTATTGGTTGGTGAATAGACCACTTAACCTGAGGGGCAGGGTGACTCTTAAAGAGACAGGTAGTGCCCTAACCGGTTTGGCTCAGTGGATAGAGCATCGGCCTGCAGACTGAAGGGTCCCAGGTTCAATTCCGATGAAGGGCATGTACCAGGGTTGCGGACACATTCCCAGTAGGGAGTGTGCAGGAGGCAGCTGATCGATGTTTCTCTCTCACCGATGTTTCTAACTCTCTATCCTTCTCCCTTCCTCTCTGTAAAAAATCAATAAATATATATATATTTTTAAAAAGTGCCACGTAGTTATCAAATCAGCCAGGAATGGTTTTGGAGGAGCCTTGAATTTTATTTCAACTTAATATACAAGGAAAAGAAAATCCACCTGTTTCCTTCATCATCTGGAGAGGCAGAGCTACAGAACGATCACAACAGAGGTTAGGAAACCCCTATGACACTGCCACTCAGTGGAGCTTGGAGCTGGCTCGCTCAAACCTGCCAGGAAGAGGGAGAAAAACCCTCTGCCTCCCCTGCTCAGCCTCTGAATCCTGCATCTGCTTCAGCATCTCAGAGCCTTACTTGCTTGCATACTTCCTACACCACGTTTACACTGAAACCTTTTCTGGATGCAGACTGACGCAATTCTTTTAGAAAGTAGCATAGTTGTCTCACAGAAACCAGCTAAGGAGAAAAACCCTTGGGTCCAAGAAGCCCATTGCCAGAAATTTATCCTAAGAACAAATATTCCCAAAAGCCATATGCAAATGTGTGCAGCATTATTAAAAACAACACTGAAAAAATGGGCGATATCTGTAATACTATCAAAAACAAAAAAATATTTAAAAAACACACACATAATGCCCTGGCCAGTTTGGCTCAGTGGATAGAGCGTCGGCCGGCAGATGGAAGGGTCCCAGGTTCAATTCCGGTCAAGGGCATGTACCTCAGTTGCAGGCTCTTCCCTGGGCCTGGTTAGGGGCATGTGGGAGACAACCAATAATAGATATGTCCCTCTCACATCAGTGTTTCTCTCTGTCTCTCCCTCTCCCTTCACTCTCTCTAAAATTCAATGTAAAAAATATCCTCAGGTGAGGATTAAACACACACACACACACACACACACAAAAGACAGAGTCCAAGAAGAGTGACTGACTGACAAACTATTATGCAGTCATTAAAAATTCTAATTATGCCCTGGCCGATGTGGCTCAGTTATTTGGAATGTCGTCCCATATGCCAAAAGGTTGTGAGTTAAATTCCCAGTCAGGGGCTTGTGTGGGAGACAATGCTTCTCTCTCTCCCTCTCCCTTTCTCTCTGTCTAAAATCAAAATAATAATA